CCTCCTGCTTCAGTGGCTCCATCCAGCCATCTCATTCTCTGTCGTCCCATTCTTCTATTGCCCTCCATCTTTCCCAGCATCAGGCTCTTCTCCAGTGAGTCCTTCCTTCTGATTAGGTGGCCAAAGTATTTGAGTTTCAATTTCAGGATCTGGCCTTCTAAAGAGCAGTCGGGGTTGATCTCCTCTTGGACTGACCGGTTTGATCGCCTTGCAGTCCAGGGGACTCGCAGGAGTCTTCTCCAGCACCAGAGTTCAAAGGCTTCAATTCTTTGGCGCTCAGCCTTTCTTATGGTCCAACTTTCACAGCCATACTTTGCAACTGGAAAAACCATGGCCTTGATTATACGTACTTTTGTTGGCAGGGTGATGTCTCTGCTTTTAAGAAGCATGCAAAATAGGAACTGCAGGGAAATGGTAGAAGAGCGCGCGAGAGAGATTTATAGCACAGTATCTCTACATATTTTAAAATCAGGTTTGTTTAAAACATAATGGCACAACTCTGTATCTCCATATTCTTGTCTTTGCTGTTGCATTCACAAACGGGGGGGGGGGAAATATTGGTATATATATATATATATAAAAAAAAGAAAACCCAGCAGCCACCATAAGTCACAGGGTGTTGTATCTGCAAATACAAAGCAACTTAAGGTGTGTGTTTTTCTATTGTTCGAAAGCAGGCAGCCTTGCCAAGAAAAAAAGCAGCCGTTCCCCATACTAATCAGCCAAAAGCTACAGGGGAAAAGAGGTTGCCTGATTTAATTCAAAGCACATGCTGCCAATTTGAGTTTCAGCCTCTAATCTTCCAAACTGGAACTTGGCCAGTAGATTTGCATCAGGTGACTGCCCTGGTTTTTTTGGGGGGGGGGGAGAATTGGCCCTTCCATGCCTCAAAAACCAGACACGCCATGATTCCAAAAGATCAGGCCACTGGATCAGAACAGCCTCGGTGGGTTAGGCACCCTCCTCTCCGCTATTTCCTGGCAGGGCCGCAAACACCACTTGGTTTCCGAAAGGATTCTCAAGAAGATCCCTGCCTGGCTTGCGAGCAACTTTCATCCTTTATGAATCCTGGCCTCCTGTTTCTGTTTTACGAAAGCAAGCCAATCGGGATGAAATAAAGTTGGGGAGAATGGAAATGCACTGTTGAAACCAAAACAAAACCAGTCCTCTGAAATTCGGGCTGAGGTTTTAAAAAGCAATTGAATTGCACCATAAAAGGATTGGTGGGGGAGGGGGTTTGGGGGGAATTGTGTGTGTGTGTGTGTGTGTGTGTGTGTGTGTGTTCCTTCCTGGTGTTCAACCTTCTCCTTCCAACCATAATCAAGTAGTCTCATTCATTACGCAAGATGTTCAGGGAGAAAGCCAAGTTTAGTAGGCTTATGGGAGAAAGGAAGAATGGCTTAGCTCGATGAAACCAAAGTTTGTCTCTGATCCGGCGCTGTTCCAACAGCGGCTATTCAGATGCCTCTAACAAGCTCCATGGCCACAGAATGCATTCTTTGGGTTTTGTCCCCATTCAGAGGGAACCAGCCACTGAAAAATGGAAGCTTAATTGAGCAACCAGCTCTGCCCAGCAGCTTGTTAGCCCTATCACCCGTTCAAGCATCTAATCATAACATGCCTGAACAATAAGCGTTTAATGCCCGTCTGCCCGAACGTGTGAATGGACTGTGGGAAAGCATTGTGTTCCAGAGAATTCAAAAGTCCTGTTGGGTTGTGTTTGGGCCTGCGTGGGGCTCCTAGGCAAGCTGCATCTGGCAATGTAATTGTCACGGTGGGGGGGGGGCTTTGGGGTGTGTGAAAGAGCTTTGTAGCTGGCTCTGATCCAATGCTTCTATTAACCTTCCCTTGCATCCAACCATTTTATGTTTTCTTCTCCCTGCAGGGCTCCCTCTACACCGTCTCTCAACCCTCTCGGGCCCTTTTTCCCTTCCCTCCAAATGGTCACCCAGGAGTTGCACTATTTAAAGGTGGCTGCTATGTTTTCTCCTGCCTGGGAACAAAATGCTCGTCGTCCTCATTCGTCTCGCCGTTTCGGTCCAAAGTGCCCAGCTTCTGCTGGCGTGTGCAGCTTAGCATACTTTGCACCCCAACCCTACTGGCGGGATGTCCAGGGTACGAAGACTTGGACCCTATGGTGGCCAATGCTCTCCTTGGGATTTTCCCATGAGCTCCAAGCTCCTGCTGCCTTCCTCCCTTCCTTTCTGCAAAGCGGGGCCCAGAGCTGAGTGGTTGCTAGGGAGCTGGGAAATGAAATGGAGACTCGCCGGGGAGCAGCCTGCCTTGTCAATGTGTCTCGGATAAACCACGGCCCTAGGAACTGTACAGCTGGGTGCAGGCTTCTTGTCTGGAGCCTGGGAATAGCCCAGGCCTTTGAGGTTCAAGGGCAAACTTGCTATTCATTAGTCGGGAGTCCTTGACATTCCTCTTCTGCCTCTTCCCTTCTCCTCTGCTGCATGTAACCCCCCTCTGGACACATTCCTGGGTGCCCCTGTTGAAACCACTCCCTCTTCTTTGCCCCCTTTCTGCCCTCCCCCCCCCATGCACAACCCCCCCCCCAAGATGCTGAAGTGGGAGAGTAGATGAACAATGACTCAAGTGAAGGCTATTCAGACAAGGAGGGCCAGACCGCTTAGCTTGTCTCCTGCCTCTGGTTACAACTTGAGGTTATTCTTCAGGCTTCCCCTTTCGGCATTTGCAGCCTCTTCCTGGAACCCTCTTTTCGCCCAGCCCTTTGCTGAAAAGAGATTAGGGGCTCATTTAACTCTAGGTTGTTGGTTTTCCTTATTGTCTGCTTGCTTGTGGGAAATGGGGGAAGAGAGAGAAATGGGGGAAGCTGCCCAGAATAACTTGGTTGAGTTGGGTGGCAATAGAAATTGAATAAATAAAAATAAAAATAAAAAAGTCAGTTCCTCTTTGGTCTCAGGGGGTCCTGAAAACACAGACAGAAATTTGCTCCTGAGAAGAAATAGCAATCATTGCTTAACTGCTGTCTTAACTCTGGATCAGTGAAACAGCTAATAAAAATCTCTCCTGTTGGGGTGGACACATGTATAACTCCTGATCACAGCCATTGGAGATCTCTTGTTTTTCTTTAGAATAGAATATTTCCCCAGGTTTTTTTTTTTTAAGGATTGGGGATACTTTATACTTATTGTAAGCCAAATACCATGTCCTGCTGGCTTAAGGCATTAGTCTGCCTGCCTATTTATCTATCTATCTATCTATCTATCTATCTATCTATCTATCTATCTATCTATCTATCTATCTATCTATCTATCTATCTATCCATCCATCCATCCATCCATCTATCCATCTATCCATCTATCTTATCATCTATCCATATCTATCATTGGTATCTCTCTCATCTATCTATCTATCTATCTATCTATCTATCTATCTATCTATCTATCTATCTATCTATCTATCTAATCATCTATCCATATCTATCTATCTATCTATCTATCTAATCATCTATCCATATCTATCTATCTATCTATCTATCTATCTATCTATCTATCTATCTATCTCTGTATCTATCTATTATCATCCATCCATCCATAAATAATTCCCTCTCCCCACCCCACTCCCAGGCCCCAGGAGCAAAGGAACTACAATTGTGTTGAGTTAGAGGAGAGAGAATGCAGCTTTTGCAGGCTTTTGAGTTGGAAGTCTGGAGCAACACAAAAGAGCATGAAAAGCCCTGATTTACATAAATAACATGTGTCTCTACATTAAAAAAAAAAAAAGAAAAAGAAGAGGAGGAGGAGGAGGGGAGGAGGAGGAGCAGGAGCAGGAGGAGGAGAGTTGCAGAGGAAAAGAAGAAGAAAGATATCAGGGGCCAGCAAAACTGAATTGAGGCTGGAGAGAAAATAATGGGAGCAGGGATAGAGAGAGAAAGCAAAGGAGAGTTGGGGAAAAAAATACCAGTCAGTGTGAAAGAGGGTTTTGCTAAGTAACACCCCGGTGAGATTAAATTGTCCAGAAAGTTTCTCCCTGTGTGTCGATGAAATGGTTGATGGGGTGAGGCGAAGGAGGAGGGGCAGGGTCCCTCCTACCAGAGACCATGAATAGAAAATGGGCAAAGGGAAAAGAATCCGATTAAGCAGGAAAAAAAAAAAAATCCCCTGACATTTTACTTTATTCTTGGAAGGAGTTGTCAGGGGAAGCACCAGTTTGAGCAGAACGTCCACATTGATCCATTTCCTTTCCCAAGAATTGTGAGCTTTAGCAGAGCGAGCAGTTGCTATGGAATAACAATGGTAGTAATAAACCAGGTGCTCTGTGAGGCTATAGATATGAGGCTATATAGACCATTAACTTCAATTATTTACCCTACTTTTTTAAAAAACAGAAATCTCATTCCAGTCCTAGTTCCTTCTATCCCACCTCAGGGAGATTATTCAGTGGAGGATAGCTTGCATAGCTGGGTTTGTGCAGTAGGATGCTAAATTAAAATGAAGTTTGCTAGTCTGTGGTTCCTGATGTTAGCCTAACTTAGGAAGTTGATAAATATCTTGCAAGAAAAATATCAACTGAGGAAGTTGATAAATATGATGCCAAAGGAACATTTAGGGGCTAATGATGAGTTAGGTTAGATTTAGAGGATTAGATAACCTTTATTGTCATTTTCTTTCCTGTGGGCACAAAGGCACACATTAAAAATGAAATTTAGTTGCTTCCTCTCAAAGTGTACACATACATAACAAACATTTAAAACATACTATATACAACATATGTATAGACCTGCACCCTTACATATAAGTAACATATACATATAAGAGGAGATTTGATGATTACCATTTTAGTTTGTTCTCTTGTGGGAACCACACCATTGCGCTTTGCCATAACATTGTATATTGCTTGTGCACAACATGCCACACAAACCCCAAGCATGTCTTTTTTTAAAAAAACGTGTGTATCCAACTTTTTATGCGACAGTAAAATTTCACAAACATCTAATTCAATTCTTCTTTCTGTTTGTTTTATTTTTGTTATAGATTTGTGAGAAGGAGAAATTCAAGAACTTGGACATTATGATGTCTCAACCCAATAAGCTACAGAGGAAAAACACATTTCCTTTTTTCCCACCACCATATGGACCCGTGGTTGACTTTAACTAATCTCTCTTCAAGATGATCGGCACAGAAAATATTTGAGACAGAAGGCCATGCATTTTCTGTTTTACCTACTCTCTGGCTGAATAAAGAGGATTGTTCATTCTTTACCTTTTTCCAAGTCTGTCCACCTCTTTCTTTTGATCACCAAAAGAAAAATGGAAGTTTTCCTAGAATTCTTGTCTATAAGAGGAGGAGGAGGAGGAGGAGGAGGAGGAGGAGGAGGAGGAGGAGGAGGAGAAGAAGAAGAAGAAGAAGAAGAAGAAGAAGAAGCAGAAGAAGAAGAAGAAGAAGAAGAAGAAGAAGAAGAAGAAGAAGAAGAAGAAGAAGAAGAAGAAGAAGAAGAAGAAGAAGAAGAAGAAGAAGAAGAAGAAATTGCCTTGTTATTTGTTCTTTAAATTGTCATTGGTTGTGTGTCTTTACATATTGTGTTATAGTGCACTATGGTTGATTTTTAAAATTGTGTGAGACAAGCCACTATAGTCTATTAAAAATCTATATAATCAGGCATGCATTTTAAGCCTGTATGGTAATTACTAATTCTATATGATTATTCAAAAATAATCTCCTTTGGTTGGGTTCCTACATTAAAGCAAGCAATAATATATTTGGTTTGCTTTATCATGTTGGGTGTATTCAGCCAACTATATTTAATGGAATTTAATACATTTTTTTTCCTCTGAGAATCATCTTGTAATAATTTTGATTGATAAGGGTTACTCTTTATCCTCTCAAAGTCCACATTAAACCTAATGGAATTATGAAATGTTGTCTTTGCATGGTTTGGACAATAGTTGTCAATTAATGGGGAATTAGACAAATACCATGGAGAATAATAATCATGAACTATTTGATCCTTACGATTTGCTTAAGGCCTTTGCAAGTCAGGTTAAATCCAATATGAGTCATCAGTTCAAGAAATTAACCCAGTATGGACATTCAAACTGGATCCTCAAATGGGGTTAATTCATAACTGGCCAGAGTTACCTTACAGAGAAGATGGGTGGTGATAAAAAAAATAATAAATAAATAAAATTCAATGTGGAAAAACCATTTCTGAACACGTGCAATAAGGTATGATTCATCTGGATCCATTTGGAACATCAAATTTGACCATTCAAATCTGACTGAACTTGCTCACGGGCCTAATTTCTATGGCTTATTTTGTTTTCGACTTTTCCCAAAAGGGAATAACCTAACCTTTTATGGCACTTTAAAGACTGCCATATTTATGATGTCACTACAGGCTGTGGTCTGGGAAAACATGCGATCATTTTGCTCATGACGATTATATGTCCTCTGTAGAATGAAAAGCAAGCTACCCTTAAATAAAGTTCATTGGGAACCACAAGTAGGACAATGTTATGTCTTGCTTTTTATTCTGTGCTTCTCCGTGGAAATAAGATATGGGTGTGTGCCAATCCAACATAACATAGAACATCAGAGTTGGAAGGGTCCTTGGGGGTCTTCTAGTCCAACCCCCTACTCAAGCAGGAGACCCTGGCCTATACCATTCCAGAAAAGTGGCTGTCCAATCTCTTCTTAAAAGCCTCCAGTGATGGAGCATCCACAACTTCTGGAGGCAAGTCGTTCCACTGGTTCATTGTCTTGCCTTCTGGTGCTTTGGAAAATAAGTTGACCTCCTCTTCTTTGTGTCAACCCCTCAAATACTGGAACACTGCTATCATGTCACCTCTAGTCCTTCTTTTTTACTAGTCCTTCTACATGATGCTAAACTGCTCAGTTTCAGAGAATGGGTGGGATGTTGTCCCCATGGGGTATTGAAATTCAGCTAGGATCAGCTCACCTAACATCAATATTTAGGCAAGAATAAGGCTCTCTCTTGCTACTGTTTCAGTTATACTGTAGGTCCAGTATGTTGCCTTTATAATGTTCTAGCTTTAAAATAATATCATTTAAGATATTGGTGGTATCAAGACCTGCTTTGCACACAGCTTTCTTGTATTATGGTTTTAATGAAAAATAGATAATGTTTCGTGGAAAAAAAACTACATATAAAGAGGGTTACTATCTGGGGAATTCACAGGTTTGTTCCAAAGCTTATGTCCAAATGAATGGTTGTGAAGCATTTCTAGCAGTCTAAACTGATCCAGGAATTCTAAGCTGCGATATTATATCCATTTATCTGGAAGAAATCCCCACTGGATAAAATATGATGTATATCTAAGCACACATAGGATTTGAAAGCCTTTTGCTTTCAGCAAGGTTTTGGGATTGCTGGATTTCTACTTTTATCCCAGTTCCCTCTAGATTTGGGCTTTGTGGCTCTCTTTGATGTGTATTTGTTCTGAAATAAAAATTACTGTTTGATTTTATATCATTTTCTTGCTGTCATTGGCTTCTTTGGATACCTCCGTCTGGAATGAGAAAGTAGATTTATTCTATTGATCACTGATACTTCATTCTTCAGCTTAAAAAGTTGTCAGGAGAATGTACCAATCAATAAAACCAAAGTCTCTTTCCTTGGGCTTATTAACTAAAAATGTGAGCTGTGGAGAGACAAGAAAACTCAAGCAATTCTTCATGTTAAAGTCAACTATATCTTGTTTTCTTCCACCTTCTATAGCACTTTGCCATGCTACTCATCAAAGCTTCCAGATAAGACCAAACCAAATATTTTTAAAAAGCAATATATGTAAAGTAATTCTTATTGGAAGCAACTAACATTTGTTGCAAGGAATCAAAATTGTCTCCACAATTTTAAAAGGGTCTATGAATGCTAAGAAATATATGTGTTTGGTGGAAGATGGCGACAGTAATGATACTTATTTTAATAATAAAGCCTTTTCCTGTTTTCACAATCTTTGCGGTTCATTTGAGTCTGCGATTGGTCAATAAGACAGATGAAGATAAGAGTAGTTTTGTTTTTGTTTCTTTGGCAACATTTTTGGTTCCCAGCAAAGAAATGTGCCACCAGAGCAGGGCTCTGGGGGTAAAGATCCCGATCCTATTCAGCAAAATGAGCAAGTGGTCACCCAAACAGAACAACGCTGACTTTATTCCATTTTTAAACAAGATTTTATCATTTGAGACAGCAGTGGGCACACAACTAGGAAAACAGGAGTCTAAAATTACAAAACTGCATGGGTGACTTGCTTCTTTCCTAAATTGTAGCACAAATTCTCAACGGTTTTGCATTTGCACCAGGCTATGGAAGCCTCCAGTGTTGGGCTGAAAGATTCCTGCAGCTTCAAGCTGAGTGAGCAATTAGATCGATTCTACTTCCTCTATTCTATGCATGGGGGAGAAATGCATTCACTCTGTGTAGCGGACATGCAGAAACAAGCTATTTCCCGGAGACTGGTATATTGTGACTGCTGACAATCTGGCAACTGTGTTTGTGGACCATAATGTCGAGCTGTCTCTCTGTGGTGTCAGCCTGTATACACTGGCAGGTTAATGTGAGTTGAATGGCGAGCGTGCATAAATACGGACCCATTGTCTGCGTTTCACAACAAGGGATGGGGAATCTGCACATATTAGCCGCATGAATAGAAGAAGCTGGGTCCATATGCATGTGAGGCTGGAGGAGGGTGGGAGAGTTTTCAGACACTGAGTAGGGCAGGGGTATTATGGGACTAGTAAGTATAGGAGAGATCCTTTCTACAAGGCGCATAGGTTCACTGTGTTGTGTCATGCTCGTATTACGTACACAGGCTTGGTTTCAATATAAAATGAACGTTGGTGAAGTGTAAAAGAGAGAATCGGTGTGCGTGCATGGTTAAGGACACAAGATAAGAACCTGGGAAATTTTGGGTTGAGTCCTACTCAGTCTTGAAGCCTCCTGCCTTAAGGCCACCTTTTTCTCTCAGCTCAACCATTCCCCCAGTTGCTGGGAAGAATATACAGGTAGCCTTTGACTTACGGCCACCCTTGAGCGCAAAATTTCCGTTGCTAAGCGGGACAGTTGTTAAGTGAGTTTTGCCCCATTTTACAACCTTTCTTGCCACCGTTGTTCAATGGACCACTGAAGTTCTTAAGTTAGTAACACGGTTGTTCAGTGAATCTGGCTCCCCCGTTGACTTTGCTTGTCTGAAGGTCACAAAAGGGGATCACGTGACCCCAGGACACGGCAACCGTCATAAATACGAGCCTGTTGCTAAGCGTCTGAATTTCAGTCGTGTGGCCATGGGGACACTGCAACAGTCGTAGGTGTGAAAAACAGCCCTAAGTTACTTTTTTCAGTGCCGTTGTGACATGGAACGGTCACGAAATGAACTGCTGTAAATCGAGGACGATCTGTAATTCTATGCCTGTGTGTTCAAATCACATCCCTGGGCAATTGCAAGCCTTCATACAACATGCTAGGTTTGGAAGTTTGAACTTAAAAAAAAATAACAGCTAAGCGTAGGTCATTTTGTTGGCTTGTGGCTAACTCTGCTGCCTCTCTAAACTGCTATAAACTCCTGGAAGAAATGTGGGAGAAAAATTACAGATAACTGAGCAATGGCCAATGGAGTTCCTTTGCTCGACTCCCGTGAACTACAGCAGGGAATTCACGTGTCATTCATCGAAAAGCAGAATGGGAAGGTCCAAAGAAGACATGAGGTTGGGTCTTTGTCTAGCGGCACTTGGAACTGAACCACCGTCATGTCAGGTTCGCCATAATGGATGCAGTCCATTGTAGGCCCTCCTTGGAGCAAAATGAAATGGAGATCCAGAACCATAAATCTATGGTTGTGGTCCCCAAGCTTTTGACTTCACAAGAGAATGGAACACTGGATGCAGTTACGGTTTCTCCTCTCACCCAGCGTGTAATGGAGGCGGAACATGGGGAAGAAGGGCCCTTTCACATCCAGGAATCTATAGAGGAGCAAGGACAATGGAGGGACTAAAGAAAGGTCATATTGTTCTGTTGAAAAGGCATGCCCAAGGATTCCCCCATGGCCAAGTTCAAGGCAAGTGTTGAAAGATAGGGATGTCGGCTGGGCGAGACGGTGGGAACCTCATGCTAATTTCCACTGTGCAGAGTCCGAGGCTAGAAAATCTGCATGGGTGATTATTCATTGCCCATCCAGCCTTAGACAGTGGTCCTGTCCCCCCCCCTCCTCCACCTCCCACCCAGGAGCACATTAAACAGAAACAATGAGGTTTGATTGCCATCTGCTCAAAGGAGGGGGGGGTGCAAAAGAAAGAAGGGGGAAGGTGCCCATCCCAGCACGATAAAAA